CCTAGAAGCAGCCCTCAATCAATTTTGAACAAAGAGCTACTGTAAAAATATTCCAGAATACCTACCTCTTGACTGGATAACTCTGAGGTACGTTCAGTGCTGTTTTCTAGAGTTGACCAGTGAGATTGAGCTCTAGTTGCCCACAATAGCAACTGGCTTAATGATACATCCTTTTTGCCTCCCTTCCCTTCCCTGGCTCATTTCCCCACTCTCCTATCTCTGTTTCCCTAGACCACATTCTGAACATATTACTTACTCTTGAATCCTTATTTCAGGATTTTCTTCCAAAGGAGCCCAAATCAAGTGTATACTGGTGCATATAGTAGGGAAAGGGTGAGTTTAGAAAAGGATGGCTTTGGGTTCTAAATAGAAGTTTCCAGCTACAGTTCTTTTTTTGCAACTTCAGACTGTGTATCTCCCACTGATAAGGTCACAGTACAACAAAATACTCTGGCGAATTCATGTTTCCACTCCTATTTTATCACATGTGAGTTGCTCCTTGGAATTAAAATTCACTTTTCTCAGGCCACCATGGTTTTGAGAATTGCTTTAGGCTGTTAGCATTTGCTGCAGCTTGTGGCTTTGATTGCCCACCCCTCACTCCCCGTAAGGAGAGCTGAGCTTACCCAAAGGTGATTAAAACGGAAAAAAGGGAATTAGCAGTATCAGACAAAGGAGGCAAAGGCACAGGAAAGAGGTGAAAGTAATTTTCTTTTGCAGGACAATGCTCACAGTCTATAACCTTTTGAGTCACGAAACGACCACAGCTGTATTATAGAATAAAATGTACATACTTTCAGAAATATGCTATACATTTAAACATTTTTAGAGCCTGGTAAGGAAAGGAGTTTGCTAATAGCATTAGCAATAGCAACTAGCTATATAATGTTTTATCTATTACACAAAACAGACCAATGTTGACTTTGCAGATGTGGTCCTGACTCAGTTGAACACTCCCACTTCACTATATTCAAATTACTAGTAAGAGGCTACTACCTAATTGGCACCTTAATTGTAAAGATGTCAACAAAAATTACATTCAGGACAGGAGAATAATTTTATTTCTGATGAAAAAGGAAGGTATCATTTAGTAATAGAATGGATTTAATAAACTCATTTTACCAAAATAATAGATATGAGGAATGGACGGTTCTTTAAAGTTATGATAATACCCAAAGTGCTATATTTCCTGGACAGAGAAAGAGAGAGGGGCAGTGCTAGCTAAGGGCTGGCTTGAATGATGTGGTATCTGCTTTTAGTGGATCAGAGCCAAAGCAAAGAAGTTTGCGAAGCTTCACAGAGACTGTGACCATCAGTCCCAGCTCCCCTGGAGAGCAATTAGGAATAACTGGATGAAACTGGTGTCCTTGGGGCAGAGGAGCGGAGGGCAGAAAGATGAGAACCTAGTTGGTTATGAGACCAAACAAGTTCCCGCGGTCTGTTCACGTTCCATGTGAATATTGTCATATTCTCCAATGACATGACACAAAGGCTACTGAGAAACAGCATCATTCTTCCTCCATTTTTACTGAACAAAACACATTTTAGGTTCAAAGTTCTACTTTTACTTTGTTTTTTAAAAGAACGTTGTTGGTAATCTCCCCCAGATTCCCTTTACCAGCTGTGCATGCTCTTCACTAGCTCCTCAGTTCTTTTCTGCTAATGGATGTCACCTGCCACCTTCAGCGCCCTTCCCTTTAGGACTGGAGCTAGAGGCCTAGAAATGTCCTGGAGTTTGTCTCCTCCTCACCCCCATAGTAGAGTTATCAGATAACATACAGAACTTGCAGTTCAATTTGAATTTCAGATAAACAGTAATTTTTAAGTATAAGGATGTTCCACATTTTGCATGAAACGTACTTGTACTAAAAAACAGTTTAATCTCAAGTATATATACCTGGATATCCTGTATCTTCATTTGCTAAGTCTAGAGACCCTATTCAACGGAGGCCATGGTCAGTCACTGACTGGTATAGGAGTGCAATAGTCCAGCTCCTAAATGTGGAAAAAGCTCAGGGATATAGTTTATGCTCTGGAGCAGCCGTCCCCAAACTTTTTACACAGGGGGCCAGTTCACTGTCCCTCAGACGGTTGGAGGGCCACCACATACTGTGCTCCTCTCACTGACCACCAATGAAAGAAAGAGGTGCCCCTTCCTGAAGTGCGGCAGGGGGCCGGATAAATGGCCTCAGGGGGCTGCATGTGGCCTGTGGGCTGTAGTTTGGGGACGCCTGCTCTAGAGTCTCCTATAGGATCAGGCTGAGTCCTCAGACCTCACTAGAGCTAGCACCATTATTTAGCTTCTTTCTCTTCTCTATTCTGTCTCTCCTACTCCCTTCCTGGTTTCTCTTGGAATCACTTGATTATTAATAAATCACTTGCTTATATAAATCCTTGTCTAGGGGTCTGTTTCTGGGAGAGCATGACTTAAGTTAGAAATCTTATAAATCATACCACAGTGACAACTCATCACAACTTTGTAGGGATTAGAAATCACTACCTTGAATAATATTCTGTTTATTAACTACAACTTATATTTATGTTCCTAAAAATACTCTTTGTCTCATGTGGCAAGTCCCTAGCAACCGATGAACATCCATTTGACAAACTCTTCTGAGAGGCTGCTAGGGCTTGTTTAATTTATTCATACTTTCCCCTGCTTTGAAACTACTGAAAAGAAATAAAGCCAACCGGACATCTGATAAAACATCATTTACACTCATATGATGTGAGCTTTAAAAAGGAATGCCCAAGCCCAGCTGCTCCAGGAAAAGACCAATGATCCATGAAAAAAATATGCATTGTACAGGAGAAAGGGAAATTACTGGTGAGCTCGGTCAGGCAATAGACCAAAGAGACTGGGATCTTATGTCCCTTTAGATGATGGAATTTAAGAAAGGATGGGCTACCCTGCCTCACTTTTCAAAGGACTTATTTTGAAATAATGGAACTCATCTCACTGTGGCAGTCCATTAATGAGTCATCATTGTGATAAATGAATGTTCAAGGGAAAAGACATTTTGCTCTACTGATCTCCTGAGCATTTTACTCCCTTTCTTAATGGAAAAACATTGTTCTTAACATGCTTAAGCCAAAGCACTCCAGACTACAATATTCTGACTATCTGTAAGCCATTTCAGGTATTTACAATTTAAGATTAAAGTCTACTTGGGGACTTTCTTTCAGCTTACAACGAGAAAAGAAGCTCCTGGGTCAATATAACAGTATTTGGTGAAACACGTCCATATGGCTTTATAGTTTTGGCTATTTATACCTAGCAGTAGATAAGACACAAAAAGTAAATCCAGGCAGATAGATTCCATTATGGTCTAAGCACTATGATTCTGGAGAGCATGCCCCTTATTCTTGTTGAGTAATTGTAAGACATATAACTTGATATAGCATGATCTAATTTTGTTAGGCTGGGAGACTTTTTTTTTCTTCTTAAACAAGAAACATTGTCTTTCCTCTTTTCATATATATTTTCTTTCTTAAATGCTAGTTTCAAGTGTTAGCCAAGGTGGCTCATCCATGGAGTCCCCAGGAGGCTGAGCAAAAAGAACATGAAACTAGTTGCTTACTTTCTCTAAATAATTTTGACCACTACTATCAGAGTCAGGAGTCCAACTATAAAAAACAAAAATGAGATTTATTTCCTTTAATTTTTTTTTAGAGACAGAGTCGTGCTCAGTCATCCAGGGTAGAGTGCAGTGGTGTGATCATAGCTCTCTGTAACCTCAAACTCCTGGGCTCAAGCAATCTTCCTGCCTTAGCCTTCTGAAGCATTGGGATTATAGACATAAGCCACTGTGCCCAGCCAAAAATGAAATTTTTATAGAAAGATTTTGTAGGACACAGCATGAAGCTACCTCAAGGGAAGCTGAATGAAACTATTTCAAGAATAAAGGCAACGATAGCTTAACAGTTTTTAATCATAAAAAGGAATATAACAGCATTCTTGAAAGTTTGAGAAATACTGAATATAGTAATAATATTTTGATAATGGGTGATACATAATTTTATGCTCCCTTGTAATTTTGTTTCTGTATAGTTTTACATGAATTAACACTTGCTTGCAGGACTGCTATAAGGAAAAAAAGAAACAGCTATGGAGAATCACCATGAAAAAATAACCCAATAGTCAAAATAGTATCCCCTCTATGGAAATTTTTTGGTCTACACTCTAAAGTGGATTACAGGGAAGAGTGCAATTCTGTTTACATTCTTCCTAACCTAAGGAGAAAAGAAAATCCGCCAGTTTTGCTGTCTGGCTTAGCAGAATTACTCCAGATCCAAGGAACCAAAAGGGAGTTAACAGTTGGACAAACCAGTGAAATATAAGGGTAGATTTTCTTTTCATTGCTAGTTTTGATAATATACTAATCATGAAAATAAGTCTTGACTATGCCCCAATAGGTTACAGAAAATCATGCCTGATATAAAATGACGGTGCTTTTGGCTGTTCTTTGTGTTTCTCTTTATTTTTCTTGACAAGTGATAGATCTGTGGATAGGACATTCTCACTTGGCTCCACTGATAACCTCCTCTAGCTAGAGGATGTGGAACTAAAAAGGAAGTGAAATTTATGAAAAATTCTCTGAGGCAATTCAAATGTAAAATTATTAGTAATTTTTAAAAAGCTGCAAGGAATGTATTTGACACTCAGAGATTTCTTTTTCAGAAGCTTAAACAGAAAAAGCTCAAGAAGTCAATGGAGAACATTTTCTTGCCCTGTATATTTCTATTTGAACTGCAGCCCAAGTGCCAGAACATAAAGTTTCATCTCTGCAGGTGACATAGGCAATTCCAATAGCTGTAATTCCAGAAATAGGGTAGGTGCTTTCCATTTCAACTAAAAAATATCCTCCTGAATTTTCAAATTATGTGTTAGGAGTTCTCCAAGTGGTAATATTTCACAGATACCTAAAATCCCCCTATGAATGGGAATATATCAACATTTTCCTCAGGCTATATCATTGCTCAATCTGTATGACACTTACCTGTCTGAACCAGAGGCTGACTTTAAACTCCAAAAACGTTGACCATCTAAGTCCAAGCTATAGCTCCGCCCACTTTCAGTTTTGGGAGTTACGATTTCTCCTCTGGTTGCTGATCTGAACTTGCTAAGAAGAAATCTGAAATTATATATATATATATTCAAAATTAGATAAGAAACCATTTAAAAATATCATTTCAAGAATACAATTTCTAGTACTTTTAACAATAAAGGATTCTTCAATAAAGCAGCCTTAGGGCTGAGAGGTTCTGGAGAATTTCCAGTGCCTCTGCAATACAGTATCAAAGGTGGTAATGAAAAAGATTATGATATTCTCTCAAGACCGTACCACTTGCTGGTAGGTCACTACTAAGCAAAAGACTGCCTGCTCTGAGAACTCAGCACTGTCACCTGAAAAAGAAGATGCATTCCTTGGGCTGAGCCTGTTTGCAGGAATAGTGAGAATAGAGAGTTTGTACTCACTTTCCTCAGAGTGGGGAGCCAGGGTGATCCTTTTGAACAACCTGAGGTAGCTACTTATTAGATTGCAGCTCCATGAGAGCAGTGACTCTGCCTTTATTGTTTCTTGCCAGATTTCCTGAGCCTAGAATGATGCCTGGCATATACTAGAATCCACCCAACTCTTGTGGAATGAATAATGTGGTCGAAACCATCTTTATTATCTTCCATGACATTTCTCCTTGTGCCTCATGTTGGATAAAATCTGACTACATTCCCATTTCACTGAATTATTTGGATTTTAAGCAAAAACAGCCTTTTAGGAACCTAAAGTCCTGATCCAGGATACCGAGTGCCCAAAACATGGGTGTTTCAAAATGTACTTTAATAACAAAATTAAAGCTATATTCCTTTTTGTAATGGCATTGGGAGATACACTTCATTTACATTCTCCAGTTTTCTAGAGGAAAAAATGGATTCCAAAGGTACTGTCACAATCTTAATAGAATCTGCCAAGTTGTCTCTATTTCAAAGACCCCTGAAACAGTGCCATTGTCAAAGTGTCTGAAGCTTCAATCTACTGGAAAATCACATTCTTCTTTGGTGATAATACTACTTAATATAATGTCAAGCTATGTTGCTCTGAGAACCACCTCATGCATGTCCTCTACTTAAGGTATCTCTGCCTGGAATCACTCTTCCTCCGTTTGGTGATTCTGAACCCCGTTTATCATTCAAGCTCCTTCTCAAGTCCCGTGTACAATTTGATGTCTTTCTGAATGGCTCCTATACTCAACTGGCATTTATTATCTAGCCACTTATTTATACATACTCAATAATTTGTTACCTTATGACATCTCTTGTGGTGAGCACCCTCTACTTTAAAAAGATGTTCAGGTAGCTCACATTGCCACCTTAAATCTTCCTGCAATTCTTTTATACTTAACTAACTTTTCAGGTGTGTGCCTTTTCTCCCCAACTAGATGTTATATTCCTTGATGACTAAGAACAATCAGACCCTTGTTTTGAATTTCAGCAAGGCTCAGCCCAGTGCTGTAATGGTTTGAATGATTCAGAATTTGCATAATTGATTGTGCTGGTGAGTTAGTTATTGTCTCCCTTCCCCAAGTCCATTATTCTATAACCTGCTCCATGATGCCTGAGCTGGGGTCTGCAAACGACAACTCCTAGAGGCATTTGTGGGCTTTGAGTTACTTATTTAATCAAGCTATTGATTGTTTTTTATGAGTCAGGTACCATGCTAGATACTGTTACACAAAAGCAAAGAAACCACTGGTCTAGCCCTAAAGGAACTTAAGAGTGTGTGTGTGTGTGTGTGTGTGTGTGTGTGTGTGTGTGTTGATGGGGTGTCAGAGTGCAATAAGATGGGTGGTGTACATGTACAAAGCATTGGGGTGACCCAAAGAGTGATAAATGAACTCAAGATGGTAGGAAGGATCTATATATAGGATAGGATACAAAGGATACCATAGGCTATCTCTCCAACTCATCTCTGCTCATCAGTGAAGAAATGGTTTGTCATGAGTGCTTGAGTTATACGACATTTAGATTGTAAGAACCCTAGACATTTTGTACAGCCAGATAAAGCTTCCAACACCAGCACCCTCTTACTTTGCATTCTACTCAGAGAATGAAGCAGTGCTGCCTTGAAAGGACCATAAAATTAGCCAGGCATAGTGGCACATGCCTTGCAGTCCCAGCTACCTGCCGGGGAGTTCAAGGCCAGCTCAGGTAACATAATGAGACACCATCTCAATAAAAGAAAGAGAAAGAATTATAAAACAACTTGATGCATATTAGAGCTCTCACTGCTTCAGTCACAAAAACTGGCCAACAGCTGCCTGAGAAACAAAAGCTAAAAAATGTAGGGCTGTGAAGTAGTAGTTTGCCTTTTGGCTCTTATAGCCTATATTTTAGGATGCACTTTTCTCCCTTGAAAGAAACTTCTTGATCCCTTATGTATCTCCCCCATTTCTATCCTCAGTACTTAACATTTGCATTCTATATTTGCTCACTGAACTAAGTCACTGTGGTGGCCAAATGTGATTTTTCTTTTTAAGGAAGCCTGAATTCTAAATAGGGAATATGATGCTTTAAGCTCAATGAATACATTTTTATTTTGGATGAAATTATACATCAGCACACAAGTTGGAGGAAAGGAGTATTGACATTGTACAACAGAAACTGTTGTCACCTCTTTATAGACTGGCCCTGACATGAAGCCTTCTATTTACAAGTAATGGGAACCATATAGTACAAGACCAGATATGTCAAATGAAAGGAAAATTCTTCTGTGCATAGGTCAGAGGGGACTTTTATTTACTTATTGAAAATTATTAAAACTGCATTTCCTGAGAAGAATGTTAAGAAAGTGTAACTTTGTTTGAGTCTCTGACCTCTTCTGGGTCACTGAAGTGACTTAGAACTTGAAAAACTAAGGAGTCTTTATTTCAGAGGTATCGGGAATAAAGATAAAAAATTCCCTCAGAAAGACCATGTCTTACCCCTTTCTCTTGGGCCCATCATGGCTAGCCTTCTGCCCAGCAGCAGGTGAAGTGTCTGACTTTTCTGCATCCTGGCGGGTTTGCTCTTGGCTCCGTAGATCTTCAGCTCCTTATTAACAAATAATCAGAAGACAAAGTTACATACAAAATGTCCAGAAATGAGAGCAAATTTATATTCTGCTTTCACGTTCCCAAATTAGCACAGGGCAAGGAAGTCCATAATCATCGGCAATGCCTTCTCATCCCAAGTTTTTCAGTCACACAGTTATTTCTAATTTGTTGAGTGTTCTAGAGTTAACTGAGGACAAAGATCCTGGACTCATCTGTGGGAGGTTTACTGAGATAACCTTTCTAGGGATGACTGCATCAGCCTTCTGCTGATATTTTTAGGGCAGGGGAACATGGTCTCCTAAGATCTCCAAATCCCTATACACTGAGTTCTAGCATGAGGTTATAGAAATGATGTCCTAATTTCCAGGCATATAAGCCATACTTTCTGGAAAGGTGGGCATCTGTGCAAATAATTGTGACTTGAGAAACTGCCTACATTTTGGAAGGTCCTGAGGTTTGAGTGGGAGAAGGGGCCATGGCTGACTGCCTAATTCTAACTGTACTCCACACCATCTCTCTGTAGCATTGGATCTGATGTGACCCATGTGGAAAAGCCTTTCCTTGCTAGTTGCACACCCAGAAGTGACACTGGAATCAGTTACAAGCCTCCTTGCCGTACGTGCCAGACTTAAATACAAGGGCACTTGTCTCCTCTGTATGAAAGATGAGATAAGCCAAGAAACAGGCCAAAAGATGTTTTTTCCACTTTTACTACACCATGTATGAGAAACATGCTCCCATACACAAGGTTTACTCCGTCTTCAACTAAATTTAGTTTGAATGCACCAGAAAGCACTGTCAAGGTGGAGTGTTATTTTCATTTGGCGCCGGTATTCATTCAGTAAGACTAAATGAATGAGAGAGACTGTCCTATGCATTTCAAGTCATTTAGCATCTCTGGCTTCTTCTCACCAATTGCTATTGACTCATCAGTCATTGTAACAACCAGAAATGCCCCCCACCCCACTTGCCTTTCCAAATGCTTCCATTTTGAGGAAGGGGGACAAAGTGCACAATGTAAATCCTTGGTTGAGAACCACTGGATTTAAAAAGTAACATGTAAAAGAAATTGGAAATAAATATTGCTGAAAAATCAAGGATCGCTTCCACGATGTGAACCATTTAATTCATCTGTTTTATGTTACTTTCTTAAGTGTTTAGTAAGATATTGGAAGTGCATTCAGAAAAAGAACTTTCTATGATGGAGACAAATGGTTTCTTTGAAAATCTTGGTGTGTCAGATACATGGAAAATCACTGTGAATTTTATTTTCTACTGACTTCCTCTTGTCTTGTATGAATTACATATTTAGATTTCATGCTACCAAGTTGAGAAACTACTTAAGGGATTCAGGAAACTCATTTGTGCTGATTAACTATATAACATGGAGAAGTTATTTAGCTGGCCAAAATGAAGATGAAAACAGTTGTGAAACCACATAATTGCTTTAATTACCTGGACTTCTTCTTAAAATGGACTGTCGGACAACATCAGTGCCAAGAACATTGACTTGCTTGAAACGTTTTGCCTTTTCTTCAAAAAACCACTCACCAGTTATAATCCTTAGCTGCCTACTCAAGAGAAAAGGGAAGAGTATTGAAATTCAATTATTTAGCCACACAATTGCCTCTCAAAAATCCTTAATCAAGTGAAAATAGCCTATTATTTATAAAGCTTATCTCAATCTCTGGAGTATTTTATGGTGATAATAATAGCCAGTATTAATTGAATATTTACTATCTGCTAGGTACTTGCTAATTGCGGTTCATACTTCATATATTTTTATCCACATAGCACATTATGTAAACACTATTATCCTAATTTTATAGATGAAGAAATTGGGACTTAGAGAAATAAAATAATGTACCTCATATAACACAGCTTGTAAGCAGTAGAGCCAGGATCCCATCCCAATAAGTCTGGCCTGGGGCTCAAGTTCTTAACCACTGCATTAGTGGATAAATGATCTTGATTGCAAGCAATAGGGATCTAGTAAAGGTTCTGAATGAAAGAGAGGTCAAGGGCAGACTCTGTTTTGGAAAGATTCTTTTATATAACATGTACACTGGGTTAGACTGGTGAGAGAATAGAATAAAGAGAGGTTGGCCATTGTAATAGTCCAGTAGACAGATGATGACACCCATGGTAGGGCAATGGTAAGACTAAGAGAGGAGTAATAAATTCAAATTGTAGGTAGTGGAAGTGCTTCTCTGGATTTGGTAATCAATTCAATGTTAAAGATGCAAAAGAAGGATCCTTGAATAGTCACATCAATCTTTTAAGCCCCACCTGCAATGGCTATGTGAAATCATCCCATCTTCCCTCCTGAAATGCTTATAATCCTTTTCTTTGTCTGTACTTCGCTCATTACTTATAGCATCCTTTAGTATTATTTCTATCCTCTCATGTCTACTGGGCTGTAAACACTCTGAGAGCTGATTTCTGTCTGTTTCATCTTTTTTTCCATAGTACCTACAAGAGAGTCTTTCAAAGACGATGATCTCGATTATTTTTCAGATGAATGACTGACTACTCTCCCATAATTTTAATATATTATCCTTCTTTCATATCCTCATAGTTCTCATTATTAACAGTGAAATGAGGGCAGGGACCTTGACTTTGTTGTTCACTATTTCTAGGAGCAGTAACTGACACTGTGCTCAGGAAATATTTGTGGAATGAATGAGAATACCTGGAATTCAACCTATAGTAGCTATGCTGTCATTTTCAGGCATATCACAAGGATTTTAACAGCTGTAGAAATCACTCGGTAGTCTAAATATATTTCTTTTTTTTTCTGATTTATTTTTTTATTTTTTATTTTTTATTTTTTTAAATATTTATTTATTTATTTATTTTTTTATTGGAAACCATCATTCTCAGCAAACTGACACAAGAGCAGAAAATTCCGTATATTCTCGCTCATAGGCGGGTGTTGAACACCGTATATTCTCGCTCATAGGCGGGTGTTGAACAATGAGAACACATGGACACAGGGAGGGGAGCACTACACACTGGAGTCTAAATATATTTCTAATTAAAAATTAAGAAACGGTTTTAGCTGATTATGTGAGCACTACTGTCACAAAACCTCTATGGGGCATGTTCTGAAAATAGTAAATAAGACTATGTAACTAGGGTAAAGGGTTTGTGGAGAAGTCCATTGAAAAGTGGAGTTAAAAGGTAGGATTTGGGGCCAAATCTTTGAATGCCAAGCTAAAGAGCTGGAGTGTCATTCTAGCAGTTTTTCTAAAGTTCAGATTGAATCATATAATCTCTGGATAAATATGTGAAGAAGAGAAAAACCAGAGGGTAGGCAAGCAAATTAGAAAGTTAAACAATAAACAGGATAGAAAATGATGAAGATGCAAATCAGGGTATCATGGAGGTGAAGAGTAAAAAGAAAGATACAGACACTTGGGCTGAGAATGAGAATCAGCAAGAACATGTCTAATATGGTGGTTGAGGAAAAGTAACTGAGAGTCAAATAGACATTTCTAGCCCCAGAGTATTATATCCATTTGATTCAGCAACTTATTGGACTTGAAAATCATTGGCTAGATCCCAGATAGAAAAGTCACTCCAGAAAAATATGTCAGCCTTGCTCCCCATAGCAATTATCCTGAAATCTGTTCTGAATCTACGAGGCAAAGGTTAATTATATATGAAACATCATTCCACTACTGGGAAAAAAGTGAAAATGTTAACCTTGGAGAAAAGCATTCATTGAAAGGTAAAACCACAGCTTGTCTATCATAGATCTACTCCCAAGTGGCTATATTACCTATTGAGAAGCCCAGATTGTTAGATAAGCTTCATAACAATAACTATATAAATTATGCTTATGGAATATGGTCAAATTTAAGATATAACCTACCAAAACCAAAAGCTTGAATGGGTTATTTCTGGATACATTTTGAGTGATCTATAGATTTATATATGACTATTTATGTTGGAAATTCCGGTGACAATTGTGGTGTTCTAAATTCTAAGGATGTCTCTTGTTTCTCAGCTATTCAATCAAACACTATTCCAGGTGCTGATGTGATCAGAATTTGCAGGTGGAATTAGGTTACTAATTTGCTGACCTTAAAATAGTAAGATTATCCTAGATTATCCATATGGGCCCAAAGCAATCACATAAGCCCTTAAACACAAAGGAAGAAGAGGAAGTCAGTAAAGACACTGCAGAATGAAAAGTCAGATTGCAAAGATGAGAAAGATTTGACATGCTGGAAAAGCTCTGAGGCGCAGCAGTCCACAGGCTATGACTAGAAAGTTAGGCCTCTGTGAGCTAAGAATGGCTTTCAGTGAACAGTCAACAAGGAAATTGGCACTTCATTCCGATAGCCACGAGGAGCTGAATTCTGCCCACAAGAATGAGCTTGGAAGTGGATGCTTCCCAGACCTTCTTTATAAAAAAGAGCTCAACTAGCCACCACCTTGATTTCAGCCTTGTAGAATCTGCGGTAGAGAAGTGAGTCAAACCAGTCCAGACTCCTGAGCTCCAGAACTATGAAATAATACATTTGCATTGTTTTAAACTGCTAAGCTGTGGTAATACTTAAGGTGGCAATAGAAAACTACTATAATAATTTAACAAAGAAATATAATTGTTCTAATATTCAATTCTTGAAGTTGCATAGGTTGTAAGAACAGGAATAAGGAAAATTCAGAAACAATGGGGAAGAGGTAAGCACACTATGGCCCATGGGTCAAATTCACTCCATCATCTATTTTGTACAGCCACAAGCTAAAAATGGTTGTTACATTTTTAAATGATTGAAAAACATCAAAATAAGAATATTTAATGAAATGTGAAAAGTGTATGAAGTTTTAGGGTCCATAAGGTCTTCTAAAAAAATAATTTCCGCTTTTATTTTATATTCATGGGGCACATGTACAGGTTTGTTACGTGGGTATATTGTCTGATGCTGAGGGTTGGGGTATGAATGATTCCATCACCTAGATACTGAACATAGTATCCAATAGGTAGTTTTTCAACCCTTGCCCCCACCCCCAGAAGTACACAGTGTGTATTGTTGCCATCTTTATCCCCATATATATCCAATGTTTAGCTCCTAATTATAAGTGAGAACATGCAATATTTGGTTTTCTATTCCTGCATTAATTCGCTTAGGATAATGGCCTCCAGCTGCATCCATGTTGTGATTGCATAGTATTTCATGGTATATATGTACCACACTTTCTTGAACTAATCTATTGTTGATGGGTAGCTAGGTGGTCTGTGTCTTTGCTTTTTTGAACACTGTAGCTGTGAATATACAGGTACGTGTATCTTTTGTGTAGAATGATTTTTTTTCTCCTTTGGTTATATACTCAGTAATGGGATTGCTGGGTCAAATGGTATAATAGTTCTGTTTTTAGTTTTTTGAGAAATCTCCAAACTGTTTTCCACAGTGGCTGAACAAATTTAAATTCCCACCAACAGTGTATAAGCATTTCCTTTTCTCCACAACTTCACCAGTATCTGTTATTTTTTGACTTTTTAGTAATAGCCATCTGACTGCTGTGACATGGTATCTCACTGTGCTTTTGATTTGCATTTCTCTGATGATTAGTGATGATGAACTTTTTTTCATATGCTTGTTGGCTGCTTGTATGTCTTCTTTTGAGAAGGGTCTGTTCATGTCCTTTGCCTACTTTTTAAAGGGATTATTTGCTTATTTGCTTTTTGCTTGTTAACTTCATTGCAGTAATGGATATGAAACATTTGTTGGATGCATAGTTTGTGAATATTTTCTCCCATTCTGTGGTTTCTTTACTCTGTTAGTTTCTTTTCCTGTGTAAAAGCTTTTTAGATTAATTAGGTCTCACTTGTCAATTTTTGTTTTTGTTGTAATTACTTTTGAGGAATTAGTAATAAATTATTTGCCAAGGCTGATATTCAAAATGTCATTTCCTGGGTTTTCTTTTAGGGTTTGTATAGTTTGAGGTCTTACACTTAAATGTTTAATCCAACATGAGTTAATATTTGTATATAGTGAAAAATAGAGGTCCAGTTTTATTCTTCTGCATGTGGATAGCCAGCTATTCCAGCACCATTTATTAAATAGGGAGTCCTTTCTTCATTACTTATGTAAATAAAGTTTTATTGAAAGATATGCGTGCTCAATTGTTTATGTGTTGTCTTTGGCTGATTTTGTGCTACAACTACAAAGCTGAGTAGTTGTAACAGTAGACCACATAGCTCTCAAAGCCTAAAATATTTACTCTCTGGTGTTTTATTTAAAAAAAGAGGAGTTTTTCAACTTCTGCACGAGGCAAGGAGGAAACAAAAAGAAATAAAGAACAAGGGGAACAATATAGTTCAATGACTAAAAAACTCACTTAATAGTGGCATGCCAAGGTTTTAGATCTTCTTCTTTTTTTTTTTTTTTTTTTGGTATATTCTTGGGATGTGGGATGGAGTAGATATCACACTGACAGCAGTTTCATGTGTAGCAGGGGAAAGTAGACACATCCAGTCTACATTCTCCAGGAAATGGGCCTCCATATCACTTTTACCATATTGCCTTGAGCTGCCAACACCTAACACAAATAATATCTT